CCTTTGTACACCCCATTCCCTAATGGCCCGGACTCACTGCTCCTAGTCCTGCATCTCCAACTAGCCATTTCCCCATGTTTTTCCTTCTTCTCTTTGCCATTCTTTGCCATTAAGATTTTTATATAGCTTACTGTATTGTGAGAAAAACCTTTTTCCTTCCTTTCTTTTCATATCAGAAGGAACAGTATTTCACCCTGATAGAAATGGAGGTAGATTTCAGCTATACAAACAGCAACATGACAAGCAGCTTGTGAGAAATGACATAACTGCTTTCACTACGTATTTGCAAATGTCTTATTTTTGTGGGCCTTCATTCTTTTTCTCCTCAAACTATGATGAAAGCAAATAGCGAGACCTTGGTGAGTAATTTGATGACTGGATCTGTAATACCTTACAGTCAGACAGGTGTGTGCCATTGAACCGTATTTTGGCAAGCTGCCCCTTCACCATTCATTTCATGCTATGTGCCAAGGCAACTTTCAGCATAAATCCTTCAGATTTGTGTACCACCGTTATAAAGATTCATTTGAAGTTGAGCACAGAAGCCTCACCCCACAATTCTGAAAGTCCTTAGCAGCTACCACCAATTCTGAGCTTTTGTCAGCACTTTCCTCATGTTTCCATATGCTCTTTTCTATATTCAAGCAGACTGGAAAGTTAGTTTAAAAACAACAACAGATCCTTGCGATTCTGAATTGTATACAAATCCCACTGTTTTAGCACAAATGCATAGATATGCGGTAGGTTAACAATTTATCACTGGTTTTAAAATATTCTGTTTTGAAGTTTCTCTGTACATTTCAAAACCTGGTTTTGGATTGCTACTTGCTATTTTTAAAACAGGAATGCACATTTTAAAAAAAACAACCAGCTAACACCCTTAATTAAGGTGAAAAGAGTATGTTTAAATGAATCTTCACTAAGTAGGTTCAAATCTAAGTCAAAAGTCCACCTAATGCAGAGGGAATCGTAATTATGAGAATTTAAGAAACAGAAGAACATTGCTGTTTTTTCTAAGAAGTGGGTTGAGTACAATGGTAAATGCGGGAAGCTAGGTTGCTAAGCATTCCAATAAATAAAACAGAAAATATCTCAGCTAACCACCTATGAGAGCTCTTGAAAAGAAATGTTTTCTTTATCTGCTGACAAGGTTATGCATAAAAGAACAAATCAACTGTCTTTCAAGGCAGCCAATGTTTCCATGACAAAAAATGGATGGTGGAGGGGCCAGGGGTAAAGAGAGTTGATGGTGGAAGGTGGGGGAGAAAGCACTTCAGCCAGCTGAATATCCCACCATGGTCCTTCCGAATTCTTCTTAATCATAGTATGCCAGAGAGGATGCAAAAATAAAGCATGTAGGGACAGGGAACCCATGGCTCTCTCAGTGTTGATGGGCTCCATTAGCCCCAGCCAATGTGACCAGTTGTCAAGGATGATGGGATCTGGAACAAGGCCTGGAGAGTCACATGTTCCCCCATCACTGAAATAATGACTTGTATCACGGCACATCTTGGGAGCAAGTGAAGGATTTCCTTTTCAGAAAACGTCTTCTCTGCTCATCTCCTAGCACAGCTTCTGGCACCCTCTCTGATTTCTGGGGACCAACAGGATGTTGTGAAAGGATCTGGGAAGGGAACTGGCATTTCTTTTATCCCCCCCCCCCTTTGTACTCTCTCACTCTTAACTGGTCTTGCTCGACTGCAAAGTTGCCACTCCCTGCCCACTTTATAGCACTGCAAATATTTACATTTTTGCAGTAGTTAAGAAGGAGCAGGTAGGTTGACGAAAACAAAGGGTGCCCACCCACATCCATGAAGCAAAAAATTGGGACAGTACCACTCTTTGTGTAGTCATGTTCTTAAAGTCGTAAGAACATTAGGACATCTAAAAGATCCCTGCTGGATCAGACCAAAGGCCCATCTATTCCAGAGGTCTGCTCTCACAGCAGCCAACCAGGTGTCTACGGAAAGCCAGCCAGCAAGACTTGAGTGCAACAACACTGTCCTCATTCGTGACTCTCTGCAATTGGCTTTCAGAGCCATGTTGACTCTTACACTGGAGGCAGAGCAGAGCCAACACAGCTGGTAGCCATAAATAGCCAGGTCCTCATTCAGCTGCATTGGATGGTCCTGAAGTCTAGTATTATGGGAGAGGCAGGAAAACTTAGCAAACCCTGTCAGCAGTAGCCCTGTGCAAGGGCTTCTGCAATGGGGCTTTCCCGCTTCACCTCCCTCTGCATCCCTCCCCCCAAAAATGGGTGCATTTAAGGAGAATCCCCAAAACAGCACACAGAGGAAGGGAAGATAGGGGGAATCCTTTTGCCTGGCAAGCTGATGTTCTTGTGCAGAGGAAATATTCAACATACAGTTACACTGAATTTCACCTGTAGTAATGAGAGATTCTTGAGGAGTGTGGGGAGGGTGGGTGTGGAGGACAAACCCGCAAAAAATAAAACCACAAAAGTTCATTTTATTCAGCTTGAAAGCTTTACTATTAAGTACACACCACCGCTCATTTCCCCCTTGATCAATAGGATTGCTTACATTTAATTAAAGCCACACCGGAATGTTTTCAATTAACCTCCTTTAAAGAAATGACATGAATCTGTAATGGCATTTTCACTGGCTTTCAGATGGAATTGTCTTTGGTCAGCAGACAGTGTCAAAATGCTCCATCAGAAAACAATAGTTCTTTGAGGCAAGGAAATCGATCTGCCTCATGAATTGCAGGGTACTTCCTTGAAAGCAACAAGGAACTTGCTCACCTGAACGAATGGGACCTTAAATTAGCCACAATATAATCAGCCACAACGTCAGCGAGAAGTGAAATTCAATTGATTTCCATTAGGCCTCAAATCATACTCTGGCAATGAGAGGTTGGTGCTCTTCCAGTTATATAGAGGGTTAAGAGTTCTGCCAGAGAGCGAGAGAATCAGTGGATGCCTGAAACTCAAGGTTTGCAGCAGCTGTCTGTAGAAGCTTCTTAAAATCACCATGAAACCCGAGCCAATGTGCAGGCCAGACTCTGAAACAAAATCATCCAGGAATTGCAGCTGTGAATACGGCTTAATGTCAGGGCTTGAGCTGCCGAGACTTGCCTTGCCAGTCCCAAACAATGTGCCACCCACAGATGCCTAATAGCAGATTTATCGGCCTCTGAGCCCATCACCTGGTTACTAAGACCACTCCTATCAATTCTATTGATGTTTATTATCGGCTGTGCTCATTTATCACACAGTGCAGTTGCTAGGAGGAATGCCTCCGGGGTAGTAGAGTAAGGGAGTCAAGTGCCAGCCACATCCCTGATGGGCGCAACAGCCCTTGACATTTTGTCTTGAGAGCAAAGATTAGTTTACAATGCAAATGACTCATCTGCTCTCCACTGCCTCCCCTCTCTGTGGGCCACCAGGGAATCTTTCAAATATAAATAACAGGGGCATAAATAGAAAAGAATAACCACTGCCAAGTTCTTAGCTGTGTTGTGTGTGCGTTGCCATTACACGTTGACTCTCTACCAAAAAGATAGCTCACATAAAATTCTTGTGTGTCAGTAAGTTTGCAAATTAATTTCATGGAATGAAAAGTAATTGGAGAATCTGTTATTATTGCTATTACTACAGTTAGTAAAACAAGATAATTAATCTCTCCTCAAAACTCACTGTTTATATGAAGCATTTCCATGCCTACTGTACCTCAGCTTGTTACTAAGCCTAAGCACATATAATTGATTCTATTTTATGTTCCTCTCCTGTTTACCTTTACTTTTATATCCCTCCCTTTTCTATGTTTCCTCTGTGCTCAAATTTAGATTATATGATGCTTGGAACACTCTTGTTCTTGACCTCTTATACTCTGTAAAGGGCTATTCACACTAATATTACTATTAATACTACTATTACTACTACTATCATCATCATCATCAGGCATCTCAGAATCTATAGCACCAGGCAAGAACCAGTCAAAATTTAGCATTCCCCCCAAATGTATTTATTAAAGGTGGTTTTGTTTTTAACAAAAGCAATTCAAACCAAACACAGTTGCAATGCGATGTAAAAGGTAATGTTCATACAAATGTGAGCAAGATTTTCCTGTTACAACACAATGATAACTAAGCAACACAATACACACAGATTCATATCTGAGTAACCTCTCCATATTGCCATATGGTGCAGTTCAAGTAGATGAGGAGCTGCTCATGTAACTTACAAAAGGGAACCAGATCTTATCAAACCTGTCATGTTTCACAGTGCCTTGTACTGCTCTCCAATGATATGTCCAACATTCAGAGAGGGCCATGGTCCAAGCAGCACTCATTCATCCCTCTCTAAACCTTTAAGTCCATTGATTTCAGTAGGAGAGCAATGTATATGCTTCATCTTTCCCATTGAAATCCAGGGAACTTTAAAAGTACTTTACTCTGAAAGGAGTGTGCCAAAAGTAATTATTTCCAGAACTGTTTTATTTCACAATGTGCTGCATGTTTGTTGATATCTGGATTATGTATACTGAAGAAAGCTGAGGTGGGTGGCATGGCACTCTGCTTTCGGAATAAATTACATTTCCCCGATTCTATAGTCTATACGGTATGGACCAACTAATAGTAGCACGAACAAAAAGGGCTTCTCCTTTTCCAGAAGAACCAAAACATCTTATGTGCAGAAAATAATGCCACTCCATGTGCAAAGTTTTGTGTCTCATAGAGGGAATTGTAGCCCATGCATGTGATGTCTCTGGTTGCTCCAATTGGCAACACTCATAGAACAACAGGTTGCTATTTTTTTCCTGTGAAATGTCTGAAAGCTAATGGCTTTACCTAAGTTATGCCGTAAACTCATTGCTGGCTAGGATATGAATCCAATTCTCTCTCATCTCAAATTCTGTCCGGTGAGTCATGTCAGGAGTGAGGAACAGCAAAGTCTTCCCTCCTGCCTAGTCCTCTGCTCTTGGGCGAGTCACAACCAGAGGAAGGGAAGCAAATAGGCAGTGGCAAGGCAAAAGTGGGCCCCATCAGTTGATAGAGCATGAGACTCTTAATCGCAGGGTTGTGGGTTCGAGCCCCATGTTGGGCAAAGTATTCCTGCATTACAGAGGGTTGGATTCAGTGACCCTCATTGTCACTTACAACTCTACAATTCTATTATTCTATTATTCTAAGACCATCTTGTGCCCAAGGCATCCCCAAAAACCTGGAGGTTAAAGGTAATCAAAGATGGCCTAGCCAATACAAAATAATAAAAAAATTCTTCCAGTAGCACCTTAGAGACCAACTATGTTTGTTATTGGTATGAGCTTTCGTGTGCATGCACACTTTTTCAGATACACACGAAAGCTCATACCAATAACAAACTTAGTTGGTCTCTATGGTGCTACTGGAAGGAATTTTTTTATTTTGTTTCAACTACGGCAGACCAACATGGCTACCTACCTGTAACTAGGCCTAGACCATGTTACTGAGCAAAACTAGCTAAGGAAATAGAGCAGCTAGATTCTTCATCACCATCTCAAACACACACATCTTCCAGTTCAAACACAATGTGCTCACCAGCTTAGCTGCCTTACCTCCTTAAACTTTGTCTGCACTGCATGTAACTATTCAACTCATACCACCCACAGAAGGAGTGAGGTTTGCAGCACCTCACAGCAAGAACCAGCTCTAGCCAAAGACTTCTATATGCTGAGACATCAGCACTATGAGTCCCCCACACTCCAAATTAAATTACCAGAACCCATTTACACAATCAGTTTAAGTAACAGCAAACATGTAATAGGCTTAACAGGTCCCAGCTTGCCTCCCAGACCAAGTTCAGATGTAACAATATCTATGTGGTTTTATTTTTAACCTGGTGGATATCATTACATGGGCAACCTTTCCCGTGGATACAGAGACTTGTAAATCACAGACTGACCCCAGGATGTACCTATGGAATTTACAAGATTCCACATTCAGCCTGGGCTCCGTTAGCACATTCTAAGTAACCATGTGACCACAGAGAGCAGAAATGTGGAGTTTCTCAATCAAACAGACATGGGCCCACTTTAGAAACTAAGACCAGAGAGGGGGCAAATGAAGGCCATATTCACACCATACATTTAAAGTGCTTTGATACCACATTAAACAGTCACGGCCCCCAAAGAATTCTGAGAGCTGTAGTTTGTGAAAGGGTGCTGACTAGGGACACTGAGAAGGGACGCGGGTGGTGCTGTGGGTTAAACCACAGAGCGTAGGGCTTGCTGATCAGAAGGTTGGCGGTTCGAATCCCCACGATGGGGTGAGCTCCCGTTGCTCAGTCCCTGCTCCTGCAAACCTAGCATTTTGAAAGCATGAAGTGCAAGTAGATAAATAGGTACCACTCCAGCGGGAAGGTAAACAGCGTTTCCGTGCGCTGCTCTGGTTTGCCAGAAGTGGCTTAGTCATGCTGGCCACATGACCCAGAAGCTGTACACTGGCTCCCTCGGCCAGTAAAGCAAGATGAGCGCTCAACCCCAGAGTCATCCGCGACTGGACCTAACAGTCAGGGGTCCCTTTACCTTTATTCTCCATCCAGAGCTACAATTTACAGATTAGTTTAACGATCAGGAAACTCTCAGATTAATTGCTGCTTTTTGTATTGTATTAAACCTATTTTATTTTTAAATATGCTTGTAAATTGCCTTGAGGGCTTAGGTGAAAGGCGATTCATAATGTTATAAAATAATAATACTTATTAATAATATTCATATTGCCTCGCTCTAATCCCAGCTTGCATGCACAGGGAGACACTCAAGTTCCCTCCATTTCTCTGCTGGTTTTCTTTTTTTTTAAAATACAAAATGGGGCATTTGGTGCAAATATATCCTGCCAGCTACAGAAGAGTAAAGAGGCTGCCATCACTAGAAAATAGGGAGCCTCCCCCTAGCACCCATCACCTCTCTGTGCTTCACGGTGCCTGGCTGGGCTTTCTTACTACATGCCAAAGATGGTGGTGGAGGAAATTGGGAGTGACTGCCTGAGGCTAATCAAGTAGTTGCTCTGTCTTATTGCCCAGCAGTCACTGCTTTTGGATAATACAAATCAGCCTCCCATGAAGTAAGTGGGACAGGAGTTGCTAATTTGGGCCACGATGCAAAGTAGCAAATAGAATTCTTCTACTGCTTCAGGGGCAACGAGACTTCGTTATTGTCCCGCCTGTTTCCAAGTCTTGAGAAAGAACTCCCAGTGTTTCTTTTTTTAAAAATAATAATATTTATTACTTTTCCAACAATTTAAACACTACAAAAACAATACAATACAAAAACACTACATAACATTGACACATTAAACACATTGAACTAACAAAACAAAACAAAAACAATAAAATAAATCAAACAATTTCATTATCCCATCTTTCATTCACTTATTTCCACGACCTCCTCACACCTCCCTTTTTGTATTCCACTTCTGTTAATTGTTTCAGCAATTCCTTTCCATCTTCCTCTGTCTTCTATCCTATAATTATCTTAACACATTCTAACCTTATTTTTTCCTTTAATACTCTATTAATCTATTTATACTTAATTCCTTATAACATTTCTACTAAAGCCATATAACTTCATTCCAACATTTTTCTAACATTCATTAATTTTACAGTATTTCTGTAAATAGTCTTTAAACTTTTCCAGTCTTCTTCCACCGACTCTTCTCCCTGGTCTCGGATTCTGCCAGTCATTTCCGCCAGTTCCATATAGTCCATCAACTTCATCTGCCATGAAAAAAAAAAATCATTTCAGAAAAAGGCCTTCCGAGTAACAAGAAGAAGGATTGAAACACTGGGAGTTCTTCCAGTGTTTCAATCCTTCTTCTTGTTACTCGGAAGGCCTTTTTCTGAAATGATTTTTTTTTACCTCCCACCACCCCTTTTGTGAAATTGTATACGTCAGGCAGAGAGAGTAAAGCCCCAGCATCTTTTCCAACTCTTCGTATGCGGAGCCTTCCCTTCCTGCTGTTCATTCCCTCCCTCCCTCCCATTTATTATTTCTGCATTTGTCAACCCGGGCATGTGATTTTAGTCCTCTCTTGGCAATGGAGCCATCCTGTTTTCAAGAGAAAGTGCCAAATGTTTCTGATGTCATCCTGGGGGGGGGGGGGTACAGATGAGAGGTGGAAAAACTTAATCACTCGGTAAGGAACAAATACAACCGGTTAGCCACAGCCGTGGAGATGAGCAAGCGGCAACTTCCCAATACAAAACATGACGTACGAAGTCGCACTTGCTTTGGTATGAGCTGCCTCGACTGGCATACGCCACCTCAAAGAGCGGAGCACGTCGTCTGGATTCAGTAGCATAGTTCTGCCCATATGCTGGGCAAAAAAGGAAATTGACCAAAAGGGCAGGTGGGGAATTGTTAAGGAAATATCTCAGCTGACTGGCAACATCTCAGCTGAAATGGAAGAAGCTGACCAAGTTTTCCCATCTGATGAAGAAGTCTCTGCTAGAAGTGTCCATTCTGTATTGCTTTTAAAATTCTTCCTCTGGGGTGGGTGGGTGTGTAGTTTTGTAACTTTCTTCTTTTAATATTTTGTTGGGAGCTGCCCAGAGTGGCTGGGGCAACCCAATCAGATGGGCGGTATATAAATAACATGGTAAATAACAAGGGAGCGGGTGGCGCTGTGGTCTAAACCACGGAGCTTCTTGAGCTTGCTGATCGGAAGGTTGGCAGTTCGAATCTGCGCGACGGGGTGAGCTCCCGTTGCTCTGTCCCAGCTTCTCCCAACCTAGCAGTTCAAAAGCACAACTAGATAAATAGGTACCGTTGCAGCAGGAAGGTAAATGGCATTTCCATGACTGGCTTCTGTCACAGTCCTCCATGCGCCAATAGCGGTTTAGCCATGCTGGCCACATGACCCGGAAAGCTGTCTATGGACAAATGCCAACTCCCTTGGCCTGAAAATTGAGATGAGGGCCACACCCCATCGATGTCTTTGACTGGACTTAACCGTCCAGGGGTCCTTTACCTTTACCTTTTTACCTTATATAAATAACAAGAAAATAACAATGGATTTTCTTGTGTTATTGTCTTGGGACATATGTGAAAGGCAATTATTAAACAGCAATGAGGCACTGCTGTCATAGGATATTGCAAGTTTCTTTGTGTTGCTTTTGCAAAAATTCCCACGTCAAGACATTAGACATTTGTAGGGTGTTGAATTGTTTTCAGTCTATTTATATCTCTCTGGTTTATGGTGCTTGAATCTACACTTCTGTCTAGAAGTTCAAAGTCAAAAGGGAGGAAAGGGGAATGAAACAGCTTCGTGAATTCTCTCTCCCTTGTGGTCATATCTTCAAGGTTTCGGGGGCTTAGGGGGAACAGGTAGGAGCTGCTGCCACCCTTGAACATCTGTTACCTGAGGCGGTTGTATCCACTCTGCCTAATAGTAGAGCCAGTCCTGTTGAGACTCCTTTTTTAATTTGAAAGAGCAGTGGGCATTTTAGCTGCTGTGAGATTTATCTTCTAAGACCCTTATTTTCCTCCCTTTGCCTGACCACCAGCGACCTTTGCTTCTCCCCACCACTCACTCTGTTTTTTTGTTAAGTGCCGCCAGCAGTCAGTGTGCAGACAGTGTGTCAGTGGAGAGGCTCCGATGGGGAGCAAATGTCTGTGGCCCATTGAGCTTTTGAAACCTGAGAGCCGGAACAGCAAAAAGCAGGGCTCTCCCTGTCCTAGCATTCTGCCAAAAGCATGACATTCAGCCAAGATGAAGTTGGAAGGCTTCCATTTTTGCATGGCTCACTGCAGCTTGCTGGGAACTCCCAGTCACAGAGTACTGTATTAAAATTGCCAGGAGATATTTCAGTTTAGTTCTTGTCTTCTCCTGGAAAATACTCATGATGTCAGCCATCCATTGTGAGCCTTTCCAAATGATAATACACACACACACATACACTTTTCTCTTGGAATTATACCACAACCCAGAACTACTCATATGATATATAATCAAAGGAGGTAGTAGCCTTTCTGCACTGGGAAAATAAACAATAGTCGATAGACCATCTGGGTACTCTGGCAATTTCCTGAGGGGCCAGTGTGGGCAGAGCTGTTGTGCCACCATCTG